AAAAAAAGCATTCCTTTGTATCTTTCGAACTTGAATACCTACTTTAGACATCTTCTGTAAATGTTGGTCAAAATTGAGTTGTTGTCGGAATGCTCAAAATTTTCAAGTTTCAGCACTGAGGTTAGTCGCACGGCACGGAAAGATAGGGTTGATTCAGCGCCGAAAGTTGATTCGCGTTCACGCTCGAGATCAAACTCAGCTTCGAGGTCCAGGTCTGGCTCCCGGTCGAGTTGTCACTCGAGTGTTCGTGCTTTTCGATCCAGGTCTGCGTCACCGGCGGTTGCCACTCTGTTGCGAAAGCGCGGTTCATTGTCATCGCTCTATACGGCCGAATCTGAATCGGAGCTAGAGCGCGATGAACATCATGATGGGTTGGGATCGCACTCCGAAGGCGCTCGATCGGATGCTTCTGAAGCCGAGATGGGGAGTGGAAGCGAAGATGAAGAAGGTAGCATAGGAACGGGTCAAGCGAGCGGTGTGCCATCGGAACTGAGCTCCACGAAAACAGCGTTCGATGGTGAGTTGAGCTTATTTTCGTATGAATGCAGTGAGCCATGAAGTTTTCATGTCAATTTGTGTTTCCATATAGTCTGGCGCAGTTGAGATCACCCAAAAGGACAGGGAAAAGTGGTCGATTAAAGATGACTTGCGAAGATTCTCGGTTAAATTTTTTTCTCGGTTTTATTCGAACCTTCAGATCAGTTTTGTTTCAGATGATAAATCTCAATCGTTGGACATTGAATGTTTCGCACAAAAATTGGTGTTGGAGGAAGCGGAATCATTGCGCAAATCGTCGAGTGCTCCGAGTGTTGCAGAAGTGTAAGTTTGTTGCTATTAGAAAACCAAAAATTATCCAGTGATCAGAGTCAAACGTTTGTTTGGTTGGGTATTAGACGCCATTTTAAGAAACCGGACGAACAGGCGATAACATTTGCTGACGTTGTTTCAGCTTCTTAACTCTGATCTGATCACTGATAATATGCGTCTTCGTAAAAAGATTGCCCACCATAGAGCTCCTTAAAAATATCCTTTCGCACTGTATCATTTCTTGTGTGTATTTCAATGTAAAAGAGGTCACATGGCTAACTTGCTTCCGATTCAGTCGCATACCGCAATCTGAAAACAAACCTCAGACTTCTTTTGGTTCAACAGTAACGTCTGAAACGAGTTTGAATGAACCAGAGAGTGTGAACTGTAATTGCATCATCTTGTAAATTATCTTCAAAAATTGCAGTGAAACACAACCGTCGAATGCGATTTCACGAAGTGCATCAGCGATGGGCGTCGAGACTGCCTCATCGGTGATCGATGACAACGAAGAGGCAGCAAAACTCGCAGCGAAAAAGGTGAGATTTCAGTTTCGCTTAGAACCGATCCGATATCGAAGTGACTTGATTGTGTCTCTGTCTGAGATCACAGCTCATCACACAGTTTTACTTCAGTTATCTTTTGAGCGTATGAATTTGAACGAGTGCAATTTGAATGCGAATGAATGTGATCAAGTCAGAATTTTTGAATAATCTCTTTGGGTAGTTGAATTGATGTTTTTGTGCTTGTTGCGCTTGCTATCAGTAAGCCAAACGGTTTCATCATCAGAAATGAAAGCCAAATACCTGACATTTTTCTTCCTTTTTTTCCGCAATAAGAGCATGAAAATTTGCTGTAAACCCTAAAGCGTGATGAAATCAACACGTCCAAAAAATGACATATTTTGACGATCATCCATCCAATGGTGGTCATCGAAAAGATGCTGTCTAAAAAAGATGACTAAAAAAAGAATCGCAACCAACCACAGGTTCTCGAATATGAGGCATTTCGTAACGATCATTGCTACTTTGCTGAAATGGATGATGAGGATGAACATAAGAACAAAAAGGGCTATCGAATCGCAATCAAAACTGAGCAATCCTCCACTACCACCACCTCAACCACTGAGAGTACCACTACCACATCTATCTCACCAATAGAACGTGGTATAGGTAAGAGCGATCATCGCAAGCAGAACCTGTCACTGCTTAAGAGCGAGCAGGATGAGCCACTGGAGCCTATCATGGAGGAATCAGATTCCTCCAGATTCAAGCATCCCATCATCCAGTATCAATCATCAGCAATCTGCTGCGCACGGTCCTCTGCCACGCAGTCGAAATCATCGATTTGTCGTTTCAAGGCTTCGACGATGGTCAGTGCCACCACTATGCAAGCTCAAGTTCAGAATCTGTCACTGTCAAGCCAGTCATTGCCCACCACCACCTGCACTAAGCCATCAACGAGTCATTCGCCGACAACGTTGCTAACGGCAGCGCAGAAGAAGGCCACGGTTAGGCGACGACGAATCAACAACGAACTGGCACAGTTGTTACCGCCACCAGTGGATGTGTCACGTTTGAACGATTCGGATTATGAGGATAACCGACTGAAAGGTGTGAGTAGTTTTGAGGCGAGAAGCGAAGAGCAGGAGTTTGACGTATTCATCAAATACCAAAAGGTTTGTTGCTCTTCTTACTTGTTTTATTTTTGTTTTTCTTTTTTTCAGATTCATTTTGTTATGCATGCTCAAAATTTCTGGCTGACTCATTTTTTCTTTCGTAAAGCGATCATGTAAGTTGTTTGCATTTTATATCGTTGTTTTTTGTCATGGTCACTGGTATTTGTGAATATCTTTGACCGTTTGTGCATTAAATTCTTCTAAGGATGGTTTTGATCGGGAAGATCTGAAATATCTGGAGAAAGCGTTTCACGATATGCAAAATGACGGAACGGCGAACTGGAATCGCATTCTTTTGTGGGTGCCACCCTGTGAGATACCGACAGTTAAATTACTCGTAAGTCTATTGCTTTTGTCAGATTTTAGACATTGATCTCCAAAGTTCTTGATTATCGAGAACTCTATAAATTGAATGATTTTCCAGTCATTTTTGTATTCAAATAAGAAATTTTTATTTGCTTACAGGCAAAACCGCGAAAAGTTGGCAAAACGGAAATTTTCTTCGATGATCCTGAGGTGAGTCTCATTTACAGTTTTGGGTTGGATTGATTCTATGGTCTTGTTTCATGTTTACACTGAAGAGGAGGTATATTTGCCTTTGAATAGTTCAAGAAAGCAGAGAAGAGGTTTTGGAAAGGTCGCATTGTTAAATGAACAACCTTGCAGTTGAACGGCGTAATGCCCCACTCGACGGGATGCGCACGAACTCAAGGTTACTACAAGCTGAGCAATAAACAGAAGCGTGGTATCATTCGACGTCCAGAAGGATTCCAAGACAGAACTGAAATCAGTGAACGGGTTCGTTCACCGTTTTCTTGAGATCATTTTCGATTCCTTATTCGTTGCATACATATATCAGACGTTTGCTCTGATATCTTAAATTGATTAATCAGCAAATTATTTAAGGTGTTTTGAGCTAATCGTATGAAAATTCAGTAGTTGAAAATTGATTGGACATGTTCTGTTAAACGAAAAGTTTTGCAGCAGCAGTAGTACCTTTGCAATAGGTTTTCCCACTTCTTTTGTATATAGTAAATAAGTTATAATGCCAGTTGGCTGTGGTGCATTCATTACAAAAAGTGACAGTAAAAATGTCAGGATGAGAAAACGGTCCGTCATGTGGTTCAAGCAACTCGTGAGGCACGATCTGACAATCGACGACTGTTGACATCGATTGGTGAAACATCTTCAGATATTCTGAAAGTCAATCAACTGAAGGTTCGTTCGTTTCTTGACTTGATTGTGATGTCTAGTTGCAATTCACGTGATTCGAATTTATTTATCGAATCGATCATTTCATTCATTTAGTTTAGTTAAATAGAATTTGAAGTCGTGTCAAAGGGCACTCTGCAGTGAGTGAAACGATAAGAATTCAACAGTTCGTCATAATGTGTCTTCTAGCTAACTATAGAATGATAATTGTTTCGTTGTATTTCAGTATCGCAAAAAGATGATCAAGTTTGCGCGTTCACGCATTCACGGTTGGGGATTGTATGCACTGGAATTGATTGGACCGGACGAGATGATCGTTGAGTATGTGGGGCAGAAGATTAGACCGACGGTTGCGGATGAACGAGAGAAGAAGTATATGCGGAAGGGAATGGGATCGAGTTATTTGTTCCGAATTGATTCCGATAATGTAAGACCGTTTTTTCAACTGAATTATTTTGAACATTTTTCTTGTATCTTTAATAAGATTTGGTTGGCCATTTGTTCAAATATGTTGTCCATATCCGCGGTTGTTTGTTTTGATGGTTCGGCAAAAATTCTATCATGTTGAATATTACGCTGGAACTTTGATTCACGTTTGCTGAATACTTTTTGTGGAAACTGACTGCGGGCTTTTAAATAATTTTACTATGGAACAACAGTTTTTTTCGGAATATTTTCGCTTAAATTTTCGGAATATTATCCAAAGAATATTAAGGATACGTTGCTTAGTATTTTAGATAGGTTCATTTC